GGGGGGGTCTAATCCAAGAATGCCAAGGCTGATTTAATTATTTTTTTTGTCCCAATTCGCCCCTGAACACAAAGTAAAACAACAATAACAATTCAAACAAGGAAAATGAAGCGTTTATTCAGCATAAAGTCAAGCCCAAAATAAATAAAACTCACCTCCAGTATCTTTCCCAATCCAAACCTAAATTGGGAACAAAGAGAATAAAACATTATTTAACAGGCGCATGAATCCATTTTAGCACTAAAACTAACGGGCATGAGAGATAGGCTAAGGATTTGCATCTGTAGCTGTACAATGACGTTTCAGCAACAGCTATTTAAACAGCAATGGTGCACTAACACATGTAGACAGACAGACATAATACTCAGATAGTCTTTATCCGATAAGAAAAACAACTCATAACAAAATGACTCTGTCATTTGACTGCACGACGGTATAATACTGCCCTCTGATGGCCAAATTCGGAAGTTTAGGGTTTCAGACCACACCTGTCTTCTTGTGTGGAGTTTGCATATTTTTGCCATACTTGCGTGATTCCCCAAGGTACACTGGCTTCCTCTCGCATTTCAAAAGCACGCATGTTAGTCTCCTTGAAAACTTAAAATTTTCCTTCGGTGCGAATGGTTGCTTTGTCAGTATGTGCCATTCAAACAAACAAAACTTAACTACTGAAGCTGAATTGTTGAATTAGGCAAGCAACACCACAAAACACTCGGAAAAATGTAGTCAAAGATGAATCATATTAAAAAATGTTCATCGGTATTTATTTTAACAATTTGAGTGATTTGCACGCCATCGGAAGAGTTGAGGTAAATATTTTGCGTCTGCTTTGGAGAAGACTTGGCCCCTCAGGTAACAACACCCTTGCGCTCAATTCTTAAGTGCCTTCATCAGTCCACCCTATGCAGCACAGCACATACAAATGTGTGTAACATACATTATACACATGAAATGCAAATGACACAGCAGTGAGAATAATATGCTACAAAGAATGGACATTTGTTCTGCGATCAAGAGTTTGTGTGCTCAGTTTAGTATGTTAGAATCAAACACTTGTACACAAAACCAAAAATGTGACTGAATAACTAGTACACCAAGGTTCACCTAAAGTCTTCCCAAAACAGAAGGCATTTATTAGCTTTCCAGCGAACTGGCTTGTGTGCCACTTGAGTCCTGCACAGGGTCCGATGTGGACTTGGAATCAACAGCTGTGGCTTCTTCTGAGGTCTGCTCTGCGTGAGATGCATTTTCTTCCGATACCTTGTCTTCTTCTTGCGGATAGAGTTCTGGATATAGTTGCATGCACTCTTGCATTGCTCGGAACTGATCCAGACACTCTGAGCCTTTCACCTCCTCTTTACTGTAGTGGAAACAGGAGAAGGCCTCCTTAAATTCAGTCCCACAGGGACCACTGGCCATCCCACCCAGGCAGGGGCAGTTCCAGTTAATCTCCCCATTGGGAAGAATCAAGCCTAATAAACAGAGATGCTCAGAATGAATTGCCCATTTTAGCAGTTTCAACTGTAAATATACCACACTCTACGATCTGTTTTAGTATAATTTCAAACATTAAAAAAGAGTCAAGATGACTTCATTTCAATATACTTCCTTGACACTAATTACTAGTTTCCTATTTTTCCGGGCTGGACGCCATCTTGTGGCATTGGCGACTGCTTTCAAAACTTTTGTGGTTCCTCACCTCGCTCCTCATAGGGATCATCGGGGTCTTCCTCAACAAGCTCGGCGCTGCTGGGTGTTGCATGATCCTCTTTGGTGACAAAGATAATTTTGTCTTTACCTGTGTGGAAACGATTACAAACCACGTGGTTCATTTCATGTTAGTTGAAAGGGAAGGAACGAATGACTTAACATTAACATGCTACCGAGTCAAGGTTAAGTAAACAACTGAAAATAAATACTAAAATTCTCATTTGATGTAGCGTATTTTCACAAGTCTCCATGCCATAAGACAAGAAAAGGACACCTTTAGTTACTGACTAAACTTGCGTCATAATTAAATAACTTCCATGTATAAACTGTATGAATGAGGTAGGCGAGCTAGCACGGCGTACAACTTACCCTCTTGCTTGACAGTCGTCATTTCTTCACAAAATGAAGATGTGAAACCCGTTTTTGTGCAGCAGCAGATCGCCGGTTACAATGGGTGTCATAGAAACATGTCACAGTCACACGACAAGGTCACAACGTGTCAAGCATCCTCAAGTGTTTCACAACTACGAGCGATGACCCGACTGGTGGACTCCAGGGAGCTAACCGATTTCCCATTGAAAGAAGAGGAGCTAATAACTAGCTTTAGCACAAGTCTTCTTCATCTTTTGGTTCGTTCTTGGACAACTTGAGCAAACACCTATTGGTGCATTACCGCCACCATGGGGTATGGAGTGTGGAGAACCTGTTTTCACTCGGACTAAGAGGAGAAAGGAAGAGAGAATAAAATTCATATCCTGCTAATATCTACTTCGCTCCCATGTTGCAATAATCTTATATTTCTTCTTTTCTGAACAGTCTCGACATTTCTAAACTATTTAGAACAAGAACATCATTTTTTTTTCAAAAGATGAATCGTTTCCTTTTTCCTAATTCTGCATTGATTCAATAAAAACATTCTGTAAATTTACAGACATAATACAACTGCTATAAAACTGAAAGTGTTCCCTATTGTCACCTGGATTTGATGTCATGTATTTTTCGAGTTTAAGCCTTCAGATTTATAAATTACAAATGATCACCGTGTGCAGCAAGGCAGACACAAATTGAAAACTGGGAGTTCTTCCAAAATTGCTTTTATTGAAAACGTGTTCTATAAGGTTATTCTGAAATGCTTTCATGTTTTATAAAGTATTCCAAAGACTTTATCTTACACTTAAAACAAATTCCAACACATGGTCTATGTACACAAAACAATAAATTATCTGTCGAGGGGCAGGTGATGAAATGTTTCTCGAAGCAGACAATAAAAACAAAAGAAAAATGAACATTAATATGACCACAAAGTTAAAACTGCAGCTCCCCATGATTGCCTTTTATTAAAAAGTAAGACTCCCATCCTTTTGTTCTTCACTTATATGATGTTCTATTAGAAATGGCCACAGGAGCACCATTTGAGAAAGGACAGTACTTGACTCCATCACGTCTGACACAGTTCAGCTTCTAGTCTGCACCTTCCTTCATGTTCGCAGCGCATTAGGGAAAAAAAAGTGAAGTGGAACAAGAATGTCTAAGAAATGTGACAAGGTTGTGTGCTTTTATGCACACAGCAGGCAATTGGGTCATCATCATCCCAGCCAAGTATGCCCGCATCCTGAAGTTCTATCATGTCAGTCAGGAGTGGAATAAAAAGGCTGAATGCTCCAGACAACGGCAGCCTTTAAGTGAATACTGGGGAGCTTCAAAATTGAATTAAAAAAAAAAAAATCCAACTGTCAAGTCTATTGCGTTTGTAGATGCGTGGCGGTAGCACAAGTTATCTCATCTCACGACACCTCATTTGATGTGAGAATCCTGGACGCTAAAATATCCTGAAGACGGGAAGCTGATGATGGGAGTGCTTCACAAAAGGTGTCAAAAATACACAGGATGGTGGCAGTTCCTAAAAGAAATATCCCCCCAGACTGCCTACTTCACTTTGCTCTTTGACAAAAATTTCAAAGTACTGATAAATGATGGTGACAGCCAGCAGGATTCCCGTGCCTGAGCCAATCGCGCCGAGGAAGTCAGCCATCACGGATAAGCCGCCGATACACAGTCCGCCGAATGCAGCTGCAGTAGGTATGTACCTGGAGTACAAGCGGGGGACACCAAGAGAAATCATTTTATCATCTTTTAAAAATACAGTACAGCAAAGTGCCACCTCTTTTAATGATTATCACAAAGCCGAATTTTAAACTATTATACTTTTACATTGTTATATTTTGTCCCCAATGTTTTTTTTTAACCCTCTATTTTCTTTTGTAAAGTGCATTAAACATTAAAAGTATTATTATTATGTTGTATCTGTTTGGGAAGAAAAACAAATATTTCACACTAGCTGATGATGTATATAAGATTCACCTGTTTAGTTCATGGACCATAGAAGTCTCTCTGTGTCCCCTCATCACCATCTGCTGCTCTTTCAGCTGTTTGGCCACCTGCACGACAAAGAAAAGTCATTATTGTTGTGAGTCAGGGTGAGACTACGACAACATGCTGGTGGAATTAACTTGAAATGGACAGAGAAGTTTGGTCTTACATCTTTTGCAGAGGAGCCCGAGACTTCGATCCAGGTTTTGGAGAAGAAGGCACATGATCCAAGCATGAAAGCAATATAGATAAGTGCGTGGACTGGATCCTCTAGAACTGATCCAAATGACTCAGGTGGGGAGAGGTAGTAACAAAGACCGCCGACAGGATACGCCCGAGCTGGACCACCACTTGAAGCGTCCTACGGACACAACAAACATCGCTGTAAACAAACATCCACTTATTTGGCATTTTCTCACTTCGGTGGTGTCAATATTATTTGTGCATTCATAAAAGTCAAACGCGACTACAGTACTGGACCGTTTCGTGCAGAATGCAAAAGCCAGAGATTTGGAAGCGTACTTACAGACCAGGTTCCGAGCAGATTGACCAAGAAGTTCCCACTGAAGCGTGTGGAAAGCATCTGGGATATGACGTACAAATTGGAGACCAGCGCAGACTGCAGGATGATGGGAATGTTGGAGGTGTAGAAGAGCTTGATGGGGTAGGTGTTGTACTGCCCACGGTAGCGAGCTGACTTGATTGGCAGATCCACTCGGAATCCCTGTGATAGGAGACGAGAGGTCAAGACATCTTTTGACAACGCTTCCTGTACGTGCACGTTAGGAGCTTTGGAATACGTGCGCACGTGGAAATGAACTCACTTGAAAATATATGACGACAGCAAAAACAAAGACTGTGGCAATGAGGTTCATGAGGTTAGGCAGGTTCTGTCTGTAGAAGGCCTCTCTCAGGGCGCGCACTTTGTCCGTCCTGGTTGCCAGCAGATGGAAAAGAGCGATGATTGCGCCCTCAAATTCGGTGCCTGCGGACGACATTGCCATAGCAAGGACCATTGGAGATACAATCAAAGAAAAACACATTTAATCTGCTTTTTTTTTTTTTGGGTGCGGTTTGTTTTTACCTCTGCCTGTATTCACAGTAGTCGGGCTGAAAGCCTTCCAGACGATTGTCTCGCAGATGTTGGTCGCGATGAACAATGAGATGCCCGAGCCAAGACCGTAGCCTTTTTGGAGCAACTCATCCAGCAACAGTACGATGAGCCCGGCCACAAACAGCTATGGAGGAAAGATGTGCGGCGTTAGCAGTCCACCTTTCCCCCAAAATCAAAACATATCTCGTTTGTTCAGAGGTCCAAAAACAAGTGCGAGACTGTATTGCGAATATGTCAAAAAGTGGGACTTGAACAATGTTGGGCATTTAAGTTGTGGCTTTCATTTCTGTCGAGATGAGCTGTTAATAGTTGGTTAGCTTATTTAGACAGACGAGAGAGCGAAAACAAAAGACAGCCCACGAACATTGCATTATGGCACAATCAGGACTTGCGGTCTGACTAGATGTTAAGATGGCAGTAAGAGGAAGTATCGCTAACGAGTGGGCAGATGAGCTCAGTCGGATGATGACAACATGTCAAAAGCAAAGTGAGTAAGTGTTGTGACTTTTCTCTATTTTTTTTTTTTTAATCCATGCAGGGGCAGCATTATTTAGGCATTTACATTACAGTTTCTAAATCTAGCATAAAGGCAAAGATCCACCTTCTGAAACTAGGGCCAATTTAACAATAGAGGATGGCTGAGAAACTTTTGTCAGGGGAAATAAAGTACTAATTTGTTTTGTTTACTGCAAAAAAACAAAAAAAACTGTCCAAAATATGTCTAAATATGATGAAGGCACAGCATATTCCTCTGAATTACATTTGAAACATCAGCTTGAATAAAGTAAAAGGGGGCCCTGTAAGCAAATGCAAGTGGATGAGAAATGCAAAAAAGAAAAATGGATTGCATCAACATGGATTTGAATTGCAAAACGTCTCTCCAGTCCTTTTGTCCTCATCTTTGAGTTGGCCATACCTGAATGATGATGAGCAGGCAAATTCCCGCTCCCATCTCTGAGGGGTCACCATACATGCCAGTCATCACGTAAACAATAGCTTGCCCAATGGTGATGATCATTCCAAACACTGAAAGACATTGAAACGCATCAGCCACCTGTCTTGAATTCAGTCACCCTGTGAAAATAAGAGTGTAGTCCTTTTTTTGTTTGTTTATTTACATTTCTGCGCTCCATTGAAGAGGGCTCTGTCTTTGGGCGTGTCTCCAACTTCGATGATTTTAGCCCCAGCAAGAAGTTGCATAATCAGGCCCGAAGTGACAATAGGGGAGATTCCCAGCTCCATCAATGTGCCTGAGAGGACATTCCCAAGTTAAACTGTGAAGCAGCCATGTGCCACGCTACAATATCACGTGTTTTATGAAATGCGCATTAAAGACACATACCTCGATTGGAGGCCAGAATAACCCTCATCCAGTAGAATGGATCTGCTGAGTCTGATGACATGATGCCAAAGAGGGGGATCTAGAAGATAAATTGTATACATTTCTGTTTATACATGCCTCGCTACTACATACAAACAAACAATCGTTGAAGACAGTTCAATTGTAGGTTCACAAAATGATGTCTAAGTTAGCGTGCTGCTAATCTATCGTGTGTGTTTTATTTGCTGCACAATTGCACTATTGCAACTTATTAGTGACAAAAAGTAATCCAGAGAGGGGATAACTGTTACAGTAGTGCAAGGTAAAACAGCACACCACTTACTAACTAACAACATTACAATCTTAGTGGCGTTAAAACTGTTGTCTATCTAAATAGGATGTTAGTGTATGTTGCACTTGAGAAGTTGTTTATGCTGCTGAACCAAAGTGATTCCTAGACGAGGCACCCAGGTGTCACTTTTTCAATTGCAATTTGTCTGAAAATTATTATTTAGTCATTACAAGAGTAACATATAGTGACAGACAGAACTATTAAATGTTCTTCAATTAGATGGCAGGAGCTATCATACAATCGTTCCCCAGTGTGGGACAAATAAAGGATATCTTATCTTATAAAACAACTGCCTTGGCTCTATAGTGGCTTAAATAAAAGTATTTCTCGTGTCGTGGGCTTTTTGCAACATGTGACAAAAGTGTCGAAAAGGCAGTGATCATGGTTAAATTACAAAAAAAAGTAAACTCACTTGGCAGCAGACGAGGAAGATGAAGAGAGTGATGGCTGTCCATAGAACTTTCTCTCTGAACTGGATCTGAACCGAGACCATCGTAACATGTTTTACAATACACAGTGTCAAAGTGAATTTGCATTTTATTGTCCTTTAGTCGTGAATTGAACACTCACCTTTCTTTCAGGTTTTTGGATTTCTGGCAAAACTGCGCAGAATGGCTTGATCACTTCCAAGAATTTGACTGGAATGAAGAAAAAGAGAACATTTCTCAGATGATTTCAGCTGCTCATCCGTGAGACGTGGCAATGAATGAGGGACGGACTTTACACAGCGAGAAGAATCGACGCTGATAAACGTGAAAATTAAAACAATAACGTCGTAATAAGATCGCTTTTATAGTTACACACATGACAAATGTTTGTTTACCGCAGCTAGCGGGTGATTAACATCAGAAATTGACAACGGAACGTCGGCGGTGTTATGCGTCGTCATCACTAACTTCCATGTTAAAGGATTTGAATGAGTGGCTAACAAGTTAGCACAAAACGATTGCAGTCTCCCAAACGACAGCACTCGGGTGTAAATATCCGTCATAAACAATAAATGTGTTGTTTTCCCAAACAGTTAAGCTTACTCACTATACAAATTCACAAGCTACATGTGGAAATGGGCAACACTTTTATGAAGCTAGATGGCAACGCCAGCTAACATGCTAACTTGCAGCGCTACTATCTGATAGTTTACGAAATCAACCATTCACTAACAAACCACGGACCAAAAAAATGGTGTTAAAAATCAAGCAACAAAAGGGACACTTACTGCCCATGGTGTCCCGATCGTCCAATTGATGTCTCCTGTGTTACGACAACCAGACAGCCAACCACAGTGCTCAATCTGGGGAAACGCCGGGAGCTTGCGTTCGTGCTTGTGCTTGCGTGTAGACAGTGGAGGAGTAGCCCAACAGACACGCTACCACTTGTCGGGAAAGTGTGTGTTGTCTCCTCTGAACCAGGAGACGGCAGCAGAGAACTGTACGAGAGATGTTCAGCGATGATTCTTGCACAGATTACAGTCACAACGACCCAAACCTTTATTGAACCAATGCACCCATTTTACGTGAGGCAAATGTCACCGCACACTGCAAGGCAAAACTCTTACAAAACGCATGATTATTGAAATATGATGATGTCATCCCAATTAATTGTCAAATTTAGTTTCTCAATGTGAAATCTAGGCCTGTTTAATTGAACACAAAGCTGAAAATCGCAGGAAGCCCTGATTTACTCCGTTGTATGGCTATACAAATTTACTGCAACCCCTGCCATCCAAAGGAAAAGGATTTAATTGTTCTGCATATCACTATACTTCACTGGCATAGTTAGAAGATTCATATGTCATTAATAAATACTAATCTTTGGACAAATTCAGAGAAATGTGCAACCCTGATGATCTTTCACGGCACACTGGAGTAGGACAAGTACAAAATTGGCGGTACACTGTATCAACTATTACACCTCCCCTTTTTTGCCATCTATCAACTTCCAACAGCAAAAATGCAAGAGTGCACACAAAGGCAAGTTCATACAACATTTTCTTAATAAAGCGATCATTATCACCGATCATTATCACCGTTTCTCCTCCACCAGTCAATACATGAATGTGTTCATTTACAATGACATCATCTCACTTCAAGTCCTCTCACACCCATTGAAATGAATACATTTTAAACTGAACATTTGTAAACCATGAAAACCTGTAAGCAACTGAACTACTAAAAAAAAAAAGCCGGTTAAGTGCGATTCTCATTATTCAGGAATACGATGGCAAAGGCCTGTCTTTTGGAGAACATCCTGGTATCAGAGTGTGGAGGACAAACTAAAAGTTAAAGATGAAACAGTTTTATCTAATAAACAGGAAACAGTTCTCCAAATGTTTGCCTACTTTCTTGATGGTCCTTACATCGAGATTTTGTGTTTCAGCCTGAATTTGAAGTTATAGTGCTGTATTTCATCGCAAATAGGCAGATGAAGACAGGTGTGAGCGCGTGAGAGTGGTTACATTCTAATGGATACACTTCCATGGGAGGCAGTTTGAGGGAGGATGGTAGTGGTAATGAAATGAAAAAGAAACTGAGTGGGAGCAAGTCACAAGACCATGATTTCGAGCTCTGTGAGTCACTTCCTGTCTGGCTCTCCTGTCTTTCTTCCATGCACGGCTATACACTGGGGCTAGGGGGAGCTATAGAAATCTATCTGGAAACCTCAGTCCCACAGCAATTGATTGATTGATTGATTTAGACATTTACTTAGGTTTACTGTATCATTATTATTTTTTAAAGTTCACAAATAAGTAGCGTTTTGTTCCAATACAATTCCTGTTTCCGTGTTTGTGCTGCAGCTGTAACGTGTGTGTTTGCGAGGGCAGGAAAGGACAGAGTGAATCTTTGAGTTACTTAGGCATGAGGGGCGCATTTGAAAATATTCTCAGAGCGTGCAGTGGTTCACTGTGACCGTTTCAAAATTTACAGCATTGCTCAAATTTATCATTTGGCTATTCAGAGTGCACTAAAATTTGCACGAGACATTTGGCGACTCGGACACGGTGCGCCAGTGCTGCTTACGTTCGGCAATTTTAGTTAAAAAAAGAGCCCGGTCCAACTCCTGAAGTAGCTAGCACCAGCTGCAACTCCTAAGTACGGAGCTTCAAAATAGTGTGCAACAAGCATTCCCCAATAAGAATAGGGGAAAGAGCAAGGTAATGCCATGAGAGCTCAAATGGTTTGCCACGGGAAATCCCCTCTATCTATGCCAACAACTTATAGTGAGACAAAAGAACAATTAAATAAACTTCTATTAGATAGAAAAATATGAAATTGACATATGTATCCTCTTTTTGTGACAATTTTGTTTGGTGGTGTGCCATGCTATTTTTCTAAATTTAAAATAGATGCCTTGGCTCAATAAATGTTGGGAAACACTGGCATGAAGTACCATCCAGTATGGAGGTCTTTAAATTCACAGGACTTGCCATCTTCTATGGTCATCACAGGCAGAACGGAGGCAGAATGTTTCCTTTGTGATTAATTCCCATGCCATTGTGTGGTGAATTCAATTGTTGCAGGTAAAGAGATGTTGCCAAGGATCTAATTATGTCAATGTGTGGCACTGTCATAATACAGGGAGTACTGTCACAAAGGGGCATGGAAGTAGCTGAAAACCCCAGCTCTTCCATGATGCCAATTTACCAGAAAGCTAGTGTGACAGAGGCTTTAGAAACGATAACCTCATTTTCCGATCCGCTTCATCCTCACAAGGGTCGCGGGGGGTGCCGGAGCCTATCCCAACAGTCTTCAGGCAGTAGGCGGGGGACACCCTGAACTGGTTGCCAACCAATCGCAGGGCACACAGAGCCGAAAAAAACCACCCACGCTCACACTCACACCTAGGGACAACTTCGAGTGTTCAATCAGCCTGCGATACTTGTTTTTTTTGGAATGTGGGAGGAAACCGGAGTACCCGGAGAAAACCCACGCAGAGCACGGGGAGAACATATAAACTCCACACAGGAAGACTAGAGCTGGAATTGAACCCACGACCTCTGCACTGTAAGACTAACGTGCTAACCAGCGCCGTGAAAGATTTACACCGTTCACAAAAACACAGCACTATAACGCTGCATGAGATGTACTGGCACCCATCCAGCCTTCAAGTAATTAAATAGGCTTGGTTTTTACTGAACCATCTTGCCAACAAAACTCACGTTGCACTTCACAGGAGGGAGTGTGGTATCACGGCATGCAGGAAGTAGAAAATGTGCGTGATGGTTTCGTGCAGCCATTTTTTACCAACCACAGAACCAAGAAAAAAAACAAAAAGAGATCACCAATTTCTGTGAGCAACAAGCTAAACATAACCACCCCCCCATATCAACTACCCTTAAATGGAATTTAGCCATAGATTTTAATCCAGATTACTACAGATGCTCTCTCATTCACACCCACCCTGTCTTGGCCTGGGTTATTTTTAACGCCTCCACACAGATGGATTCTGCGGGACAATTGAACGTGCTTGCATGGATTTCCCCTACAGCATTTTCTGTGGTTTCTGTTTCATAACACACATTTATCACCATCATCATCATCTCACATGCATACACACCCACATACACCTTTGTTTAGTGCACATTTCTACTGTGGCACCTGATAATGTAGGCCAGCAACTGGTGGGAAATGACGACACATTTAAGTGTATTATATTGTATTGTTCCTCTTATTTTTGTTCTGTCAAGACTGTGCAGATATTCCAGATATGGTTGAAGAGTGAAATCATGTTCATTCTCCTTTTATTTGGCTATGAAATCTGTCACGTTCTTTAGCATACAACAATGGGAAGTTGTACATTTGCAAGGAAAAAAAGGGAAATATGAAACTAAAGTCTTAATTTTGCAAAACAAATAAAATGTGAAAAAACTTATTTTATTTAAATGAATTTTGAATTTATGAAATTAAGTTTATGTTCATTGAGCAGTAATGTAGTGAAAAGGTCATTTTAAGAATTATAGCACATTATTGTGAGAATAAAATTGTAATATCACAATGTACACATGCTAAAATGGCGAATGTTGAGGACGCTGCCATTTGTGAGTCTTCAGAGTTGCTTAACTTTTATGCGTTTTTTTAATTACCAGACAGCTGTTTATGTATTTATTTTTAAGCAATCAATTAATTGTGTTGATTGACAAATACTTCGGCAGATCTCTATTAAGACATGCCGTTGTGTTGATTGACAAATACTTCGGCAGATCTCTATAAAAAGACATGCCTGTCTTAAACTGACGATGATAAACACCAACAGTGTGTATGCATGTGTCTGATATTAAAAAAAAAGTCACATTCTGGAAATGCTAAATTGCGTCTTTCACCATTTTGATCACTTTGTTGTGTGGGGATTGGAAAGCATTCGTTTGTTGATGCGGCTTCATCATCTGTTGGAATGTTGCTCGACATGCCATGACATCACTCCCTTTGGAGTATGTCACTTTGGAGTTGGGTCAGGCTCTGACAATTTCTGAGTGCACCTGATTAGATGTCCACCAGACCAACGTGGTTACGAGCCTCCAATAGCTAAGCAACAATTAGATAAGTATTTCCACAACCTTTGAACTGTCACGACTGCCATGGCGTTTACGCACACAATACTATGTGTGCACTGCCGGCCCGCCCATGGTACACATTTACATTGATAGTTATGCGTGTCCTTTGATCCTTGTGAAAACGTTGACATAATTTGTAGAGTAGACTTAACCTTCACGGAGAAAAAGCCTTTCGTGTTTGTGTTGAATCAATGCAAAGGTCTGTGGTCAACTCTTAGAGGTAAAAATCAATATGTATTGAAATTGGCTCCTCAACAGAGCGAGTAAGATATGTTTTTGTTTAGGCAGGTCAATGCAATCTTGTTTCTGCCTAAAAATAGGTTTGCTGCGACACCCTGATAAACAAAATAGATACACTGATATTAAACTTGACCCTCACTTGTACAATTTCATCAGTCAATGTGACAGCAGTAATGCAGCATGTTGCCTCGCGATATGAGTCAAATTCATTCCGTGACAATGCTTGTAAATCAAAACATTTGGATCTCAATTTATCATTTGCATAGAAATGAATGGATATGCCACTAATTCGTTCCAGCCTCCACCCAAATGTTCGTGTTTTTAATGAGGAAAATTGCACTCTACAAAATTGACTTGACATAACATTTACTTATAATCAAATAGAATGTATTAACCAATTTGTGCATCACGATTAATTAATTGCGACTCATTCTGGTGTACTTCACTATAGGGCAATGAGGGGCAGTACTGTAGAATACAGTCCTGAAGAAACAAAGAGGACTTCCACAAGTACTGTGACTCAGTAAATAGCAGTCATATTTGTGACATTTTGCAGCGGATAAAGAAATGGTGCCTGTGTTGTCGCGCCATCCGATGAGGCCTACAAATCACAACTCGCGGTGCCTCTTATGAAGAAGCCACTGTGCATACGTGTGTGCAAACTACCACGTTTAGATTCATGCGTCATAAACTCAGCGATATTACTGTAATCACAAAGTCACTTACGCCATGTTCCACACCATCCAGTGCTATTGAGGTCAGCCTGGGTTTATTTGTTCTTCCAGTGTGTTGCATAACAGTCAAGATCCAGAGGCTCCAAATCTGATCACATTCCAGGAAATCTGTCAGATTATACAGTTCATGTACTGTAGTTTTTGATTTAAGTAAATTTCCTAAACTAAAACAGCAGGATGCCACTTGGGTTTATGAGGCTGAACGTCTTGATAGCTGTTGCTATAAAGCTGCCTCATTCTCATAAACAAACATGCACTTCAGATGGCTCATGACAATCAAATACTAGTCGACAATGATCAAGCATACATTTGCGCCCATAATAGATATTGGTGTTATTCCGCCGGCTTTAAAATTCTAAGAGATGGTGACTCCCCCTTCCTCCAACATTTTGAAAACATACATGCTAGGTGAAATGAAGATTCCAAACTGTCCGTATGTGTTCATGTGACCCTGAAATTAATTGGCTGGTGACCAGTCCAGTAGGTACAGCTGCTAGCCCTTTGCTCAAAATCATCTTGAATAGACATTACATTATAACACAGAGCCCCTCCTATGACAGGTGAGGCTGGTGGTCTTAAGACCCAGAAGTGGACAATTATATCAAAGTAACAAATAAACTTTAGGAAATAAAGAAACAAAATAACAAACTAACCGAGGACCGGGTGTGGCAGTGGCAGAGCGCTCAACAGCCAAGGTTGTAAAAGAACAAGAAGGAAATGAGTCCAAACGTAAAGCACTGGGAGAACCCAGCTCTCAAAACGCTGTCAAAAACACAAAGCCAATAACAGAAATTCGCTAGTACATACGCTGAAACTTCTAGGAACTGACAAGACATTCTGCCGAAGAGTGAAAGTCTGGCCGGAAGCGAAATACTGGGTGTGATGAGTGATGGGGAACAGGTGTGCGAGGGGCTAGGCATACCGGACTATGCCCAGACATGAAAACAAAAAAAAAGACCAGCACAGGAAACAGAACTTCCACGATTTCAAAATAAGAGGGAACACCGAATGACTCACAGCAGGCTCCACTTTGACGACTAGTGCGCAGAAAATGGCGACTGGACAGGCAATGGTTTAAGTAAAAGTGGGCAGCTTCGTTGAAAAAAATAAAGAAAGAAATCAAAAAGTTAATTACAGCATATAAAAGCTGAATAAACATCAAAACATCAGTGCAAGTGATGACACTTGAGAGATGTGGAGGGGCGCATGCAGAGAGATATTAAACTGTACATTATGCAAATGACATTTTTCGTAGATTTTTTTCTGAATAACCGATGCAAATGACAGCATAATGTTCAAGTCATGAATCTTAAGAGATTCATTTGTACGTATTTGAACCAAGGATGGCGCTGCACCGGGGCTCTAGCCTCATCAAAAATCTGTGGAACCTCAGTTAAGCCTCTCCAGCATTTTATCCATCCATCGAAAATCTGAACCGCTTATCCTCACGAGTGTCGCAGGTGTGTGTCAAGTTACATTAGAACACAGAGCTCCTTCTTAGCAGCTTTTCAAATCTTGAATTCATTAAACTTGCAGAGTAGCCTGCCTACAAAGGTTCTCAACAGGGTTGGAGTCAAGAGGAGAATGGAGGGTTGGGGAGGCACATGATGAGCTTCTCTCCTTTTTGGCCCATGATGCAGAGGTATTCCCTGCAGCAAAAATGTCTACTTCCCGTTTTCTCAAAAGTGTTCGGTCTCACTGGATTTGTCCATCCCTCAGCGGCCTGTGGCAACTTGCTTTGTGTTTCCCTTTTGCAGTTATTTTGGTGTTTGTGCTTCTGGTTTTCACTTTTTTCTTCTTTCAGCTTTGCTTTGTGGTTTTGCAAGTTTTTGCTTCCACTTGGTTTCTATGGTTGCCACATTTTTCAGTTGGATTGTACACTTTTGGGTTTGCATCATTCCTGTTTTTTGCAGTGCATTTGCCTATCAGTTGCTGTATAAAACACCCGTGAAAAGCCAAGTTGTGATTGTATTCGGGTGAAAGGAGCGTAATGGAAAAGGGTTTAATGAGAATAGGTTTGTACCTGAAACAGACAATTGAAAGAACTCTAACAAATGACACCAGTGACAATGCATTCCCGTCCATCACGTCATTTATACGTCTTCCAGTGCTGAAAGACATAGTTCGGAAAGTGAAGACACCTGTCATTCAATTGCTGAGCATGTTGTTCCTCTAGGTTAAAAGTGTACTAATGGTGTGTGTGTGGGCTGCCGAACACTTTCTAATGCTTCCTGCTTGAGCTGCATGCAGCCATTCAGGTTTTCCACGTTATATAACGTGTAACCTTGCACAATCCGGTCTGCGACATCGCTGCAGGATGGAAGTTAATTATTGTGGGTGTAGTTCAGGCTGGTGTCGTGCACGGCGTCACACTGTGGGACATTTTTCCTCAAAGTACCACAAAAGAATTCTTACCACAAAAGAATGTCTTTATTTTCAAGACATCGCTAGCACACAGGTATACAAGCGAGCTTTTTCGGCTCTCTCAATAACAAAATAAATTCAGTATTAGAACATAGAAGAGTGGTTATTTGGAATGTGATTTTTTTTCCCCCCATTTTCAAGAACCCCTTCAAATAAATAGTCTCTTGGTAGCTAGTGATTTCAAATCAGTAAATGCTCTTGAAGTCCACATTTAAGGAATGAATAGGAGAAAGTCCAAGAAAAAAACCACATTGGTAACAAAATTAAAAAAAAACAAAAACTTTTTCTTACAATGTCTTTTGTTTGCAAGAAATTAAATACAGAGGGCAACTGGTGGAAAAAGGCAAACACCTTCTTCTTTCTCCAACTCGTCCATCCTGTATTAAGAGTCCATCATTTGTTTGCAAGAAATTAAATACAGAGGGCAACTGATGGAAAAAGGCAAACACCTTCTGTCTCCATCTCGTCCATCCTGTATTAAGTGTCCATCAAAGTGCCTGATTGGACACACAGAGCACGTTTCTTACAAACACCAACATAAACACAAAAAGTCCTTATCAGGAGCTTTCACTACTGATTGCTACAAGGCTGCTGACCTAGCCAGCCAAGGTCAGCCCTTAAAGTCCCGCCCCCACTATTAATGTGCTTTTCTCTTCGGGACTGGCAGTGGTAACTGCACTCCCCCGAAAACACCAAATGAACTCACGCCACAGGTAAAGCACCAGGTCAGACTCATTGAACTACAGTACACTTGAATTTCAACCATCTAGATCACCATTGCTCTCTCGGAGAGAATGCACAATAAAAGGAACCTGGGGAGTGTCCTCGGATGCTACAAGTCTTTTGTGGCTGTTGCCAGACCGCAATCTCGGTCCTCCGACTGTGCGCAAAAGAAAAGGAGCAGTCTCAAAGAGGGAAAAAGTGCGACTAAGGGCTCAGGCTGCGCCGTCCTCTGGCGGGTGAGGGCGAGCGGCAGGACACGCCGCGCGCTCACCCTCTTGACCCCGAGGTTCCCTCCAAGCAGGCGGGGAGGGTCGCACCTCCAGGACGGTGGACCTCGGAGTAGCGGGGTGTCGGCTTGTCGGGCTCATTACCCCAGGTTTGAAATTCAGAACATGCGGGTCTCCCGTTGCGAGCCTCAGTCGGTGCTGTGATCCTCCAGCTGGGAGATGATAGAGATCAGGTTCTGTAGCCCAAAGATGAACCCGCTATCCTGCCCTTCGTGCACGACGCTGTCCTCGCCGTAGTGGCGGCAAGTCGTGTGCGCAAAGTCGATCATGCGCACGTCCACGGCGGGGCTGCTGGAGTCCGCCGGGCTGTGGGAGGAGCGACCGCTGCTACTGTTGCCGCTCCCTGCGGCCCCGCCAGCGCTGCAGCCTGCCGAGGACGAACGAGGGAACCCGAAAGCCCCTTCTTCCTCCTCCTCCTCCTCGTCAGACAAGTCATCCTCTTCCCCTTCTTCCCCGCCACGGTGTCGAGGTCGAGAGGGCGTTCTGGGAGGGTCCCCGTCATAGATGATGAGCAAGGAGCTAGAGTAGAATCGGTACGACTCGCAGGACTCCAGGGCGGCTTGCATCTCGCGGAGGCGTTGCAGCACCGGGGATAGCAGCTCGCGCCGCAGGCGACGCCCATCGTGGAAAAACTGGTAGAGGGCCTCCTCGAAGCCTGCGAAGGTCAGCTTTCGGCCGTGGTACTTATTCATGAACATGAGCTGGCCAGAGTCTGACTGGTACACCTGCGAACGTCAAATCGAAAAATGAGCAAACCAGCATCAAATTCATGGTCCACTTGACTCATGCGATTAATTCATTACGTGATCATGTTCAAGAATCAATTTGGTCAGATCAAACACTAGGGACTAAGTCATACGATAAAATAGGCCTCCACAAAATTTTTGCCCCAAACTGGACAAACTGGTTTTCACCTGCATGCCACAGAGCCGCACTCCGATGGAGGCCGATGTGCTTTGTTGACACTTGCGGATCTGATTGGCTTTCTTCTCTTCTGATGCGTCATCGCCATGTTGGCGGGTCCCCATCTTCAAGTCCAGGACACACGGGACTGTGTAACGCCATGTTAGGTTCTCCAAAAGGATGAACTCTGGGGAAGCGGGTCAAGGAATGCACAGCGACACGAGACCAAGACGACACGTGCTTACTACGAACAAGGACAAGCGTCACGTGTTCTGTGATGACAGCAACATGGAAGGATACTGTATTGGTTGCGGTGCTTTGCATTGTCCTTCATCCTCTGTAAGTGCTGCTGGTGACATTTGAGACTCCAGGGATTGTGTTTGATCTGCGGCACCATGTTGCCCTTCTCTAGGCTTAAGTACAGGACCTCGGCCTGCTGCTGCGCCTGGACGTCATCACGGTAGCTAGCAAAGGACACACAGACAAGAAGGTCAGCGTTTTGTATCACAAAGTATGTTCCCCGTTAAATGCGCAGAAAGGCAACTTTACCTCATGATCTTGTCGTCTTTGCGGCTCTGCCGAGCTCTTTCTTTGCTGTAGTTGTCATTCTCTAAGTGCAAAGGGGCTTGCTTTTTGTTGCTCCACTTTAACATCTTGCTCTTGGGCTCGCAGTCGGTCGAGGGGTCCTTGTTTTCTAGGTCGCCCGATTCGCTATGAAGAGGGTAAGCAATGAGGCACAGGTTCCCTCCTTCGTCCTCTTCGAAACTGACCGACACGACACCTGTGAAAAAGGAAGACAGGATCGTTTTAAAATAAAAAGACCTCATTCAACAAGGAAAAAAAAAAAAACACGAAGAACAGTCACGGCAATGATCACACACCCTTGATGCAAAAGATTTATATTTGAATACACAAAAGGAAAACTGATATTCGGCTAATGAAAGACATGACAGACATGCCTGAAGTTTGTCATTTCAAGCACATTGATGAAAACACTCCGAATCAGACAAGATTTGCTGACGAAGAGTGAACACAACTCATGTATTTATTAGACAAGGCATTCTCAAAGTTTTACACAACCCCAATCGAGCAGAAAAGCCTTGATACTTGAAAAGAGTTGAAGCTGTGTGCAAACATTTGATCTGGGGTGAAGGTAACCCAAACAGAAGGGTTTCCTAACATTTGTGAATGTTTAGTCGCAGATGCATAAAGGGCTTTGCAGTAGCTGGCGGTACCTCGCACATCATACACATCATGGCTGTTGATGTAGAAGGAGCAGACAGGATGTGGTCAGTACACTGGCAGAAATACTGACGCAGTCGCCGATCTCAAAGGGCAAAACGCTTTCACAAGACAAGGCAGCCCTTTTGTCAGCGAGTGCGCTGCTTCTGAGAGCCTCTGCGCGTTAAAACTGCGGGCCTGAGGACCCAGCAGCCACGCCGCTTCCTGAGCTTAAGTCGTGTCTGACGTCATGTATGCTGACATCAGCATCCCGAGGCCCTTTCGCCTCCTCTCCACTGTGGCCTGATGGAGACTTGCACAGTCATCGCGCCACAACTGGCCAGTGTGGGAACTTGTGACACAACTGCTCGGTATTCTTATGAAATGAATATAAAGGCAGCAGAGGTGGGAACTTGATGACTGTCGGTTTGTCCTTGGGACCTTTATGTTGCCAAGTATACATTTGAAAACAATTGAGTTATACGTGATGAAGTACACCCAAATGTTTCAAAAGATTTACAAAAGTGTTCCATCATTCTAGAGTCTAATGTCAGCTCATCCTGGTAGTCTGCTGCGTAACTGTTCAGACATCACTCACACACATGATCTTTTTATAGGACCATGCTGCATTTTGGTGGAGTCAAATAACATGGATGTCTTACCTCCTTAACAGATTCCCTTGGACATGCGTATCCATAGGTACTAATGGGGTAATATGAGGTCTTATGTGGATAATAATAAGTAAACTACAATAAAAAGGATGTAAGGTAATGAACCAATTCTCGGTTAGTTTGCGGCAACATTTCATATTTACTTTTTGTTTAGAAGTGCTTTCAAATATTGCACTTTTAATGATGAGAATCATATTGATTTACATTGTGTATGTATTCCTCGATATAAATAAAGCTACCTTGCCTTACAGAGCCACAGCATCCTGTGGATCAGGGGTCAGCAACCCGAGGCTCGCATGCAGCTCTTTAATCCTTCTCTTGCAGCTCTCTATCTATCTATCTATCTCTCTCTCTCTCTCTCTCTCTCTCTCTCTCTCTCTATATATATATATATATATATACAGCTAGGCCTTTATGCGTTTCTAACTAAGCATTCATGTATATTTGGGAACAATTCATTTAAATTTTCAGTCAAGTTTATGTGATGCTTTTGACCCTGGGAACTCTTTTATGTATTTTACATCGCTACATGATACTGTATTAATTGCACAAGATTTAAGCCTGTGTGCTGCCTTGGAAGGGTAATCTGCTCTGGGCCTTCAGAAATTGTGCTGGGGGATGCATTGGATATGGAGTCTGAACTGCTCCAGATGATGTATGTGGCAGTTTTTTTTCTGCTTAATTAGATATCCCCCCCCCCCCTGTATTAATGGTTTCTACATTTGTGACTTGATAGTGGTGAGGTTGGTAATAAGACCACACCGAAGTCCCAGCTGCCAAATGCAAGGCCCGTCTCTGCTTTGCCATCTATTGAGAACACCACGGAGGTCTTATCATCTAGAGAACATTTTTTGGAATATTTGCTGGTTGCCACATTCTATTTTGGGCCTCTTCCGACGAATCCTACCGCAAACTATTCAAGCGAACGTCCATGTGTAATTGCAGCCCGCATACACCACGTTATGTAACGCTTAGCATCCAGATGAAAAACATGGTAGCTAGTTTGTCACCGCCATGTCAGACGTCTTCCGTTTTGAACACCCAGTTCCCGGAAACGGTCTTACCTTTATACTGAGGGGTGAATTTCCTCATTTCGGCAGGGAGGCTCTTGTAAAACTGATGCTCGCGGGGAATGAGAGGCTTGCAGATGGTCTGCTCCCCGAATCGCAGCACGCAGGAGTGTCCCCCAACCTGGTGCACGAAGGGTTCAAGCATCACCCCCTTCCCCGAGTAGGGAGTCCCATCCGCCTGCATGAGGGCTTCCAGAGCGGGACTCATCCTCACTGCGCATCGGACATCTGAGCGTGGTGGACCCACGTCGCGCGCGAGACGAGAGGCTCGGCCGCTCGCCTGGCTCCCTATCCTGGACTTCTTTGCTATTTAGCCCACAGGGGGCGCTGCCGGTGCCCTGCTCAAACGAGCTGGGGTTGGAGGAAAAAAAAAACAAAGGCTGAGCGGAAAGGACGGAGGCAAGAAAATCCTTTCTACCCTTCGAGTCACCTGTCCTGGGACAGTATATAGCCCTCTTCTGTAGAACTATATAGTCTCCGCGATTAATTTCGTGTCATCAAACGCTACGTGTGCGTCATTAAAGGCTGATAAAAACGTATGGGCTTGACGTGGACGTTTACTGTCGCGGTAGTGTGGCTCAACTGACGCACCAGTTAAAGTCCCTGCTTGGTAAAGATCAGGAATCCCCGCCCCAAGCCACGCCTTCCCAGCGAGGATCAGCCAATCAGGAAGGCGTTGTTGTCGCTGGGAGGAGACAAGGCGTCTCGGAGAGGATCACGCAAACAAAGGAGGGGAGAGAAAGAGAAAAATAACAGGGGGAGGGGAGAACAGGAAAAATACAAGACAAAAACACAACACTGTAGGTCTTTTTTTTTCTTTTTTGCTGTTTACTTAGGTTGCAGGTTCTCCGCTCTTATTGCCCCAGTGACAACCTGCAGCTTGCGTTATAAGGTTTGCATTTAGTCTTCAAATGTGAACGAGTAGTAAAACAAACCCAGGAAGAACATGTAAAGTGCCCAGTAATTTTCAAGGTTTGCATTAATTTAATACAGTACATATATATTCACAATCACAATATCAGTGGCCAGCTGTGCATTTGGTACCTAAGCCTTCACTGGGGATTTACCAGAATTGAGCCACTTATTACTTGCACTGGTGCTTGACAATTATAGAACTCATCAATAATATATTACTGTATACAAAAATGCAATTTAGAGCAAAACACCAATGTGGCACATGTATCATCTTGAGCTGTTCAGAACTAGTTTTCATCAACATAAAAACATGAAAAGAAACCATTCAAAAACCAACTGAAAAAGGATATAATGTTATTAATGTGCAGATCGCTACAGATGTGTTTTCGAGTTGGAGTTGGCTGTGTAACAAGTTTTGCTCTGACCAAACAATCAGAGGATGGTAAAATGCTCGCTGGCCCTTGGAGGACCAGAGGCAGGTACAGTAGCCATAAATTGTACTCAAGTAGGAGTACTGGTACTTTAGAATAATATTCAAGTAAAAGCAGTCCTTCCTCCAAATAATTACTTGAGTAAAAGTAAGTAAATATTCAGTGAAAGAAACTACTTAACTGGTGAGTAACTTCTTATTTACACGAAATACAAGACAGAAATGTGCAAAATCAGATGTTGTCTTACAATGTCACTTCAATGAAAACAATAATTTTAAATAAATTTCAGTGTCATTGTTTTCCCATTTTTAGGCAGAAGCTGATGACAGCATGACATACTATATATAGCTGCTTGTTTTCCAAGTCTGTGAAGTAAACATGGATTGAAGGTAAGAACCGGAATGTTCTGCCTCTTCTGACTACAAGTTTCATGCCATTGTCTCCTCCTTCGTGCCACTCTGAACGAAAATTAGTCACTTTGAAAACTTAGCTTCTCTGGGGCCGTGGAGAATTTGTGTGGTCATATGACTGTCTGGCTCCATTTGCTCGGTGAAATTGATGTGAAACATCATTACTGGTTATGGTGGATTGGTGAAACAGTCGTGTGACAGCACCAAGGCAGAATTTTCTCGGGCTAGCAAAAACAAATGGATCGGGCGAACAATAAACTCTAGACAAAAATAAAAGTGGTGAGCTGAATGTGGCTAAATGTCACAATCAAAGTAGTAGTTTCTCCGTTTACATTAAAACTACCCTGATGAGCACAATTTACACAAACTGCGACTAAGGTAAAAGTAACAGTAAATGAAGCACATTAGGACCCACCTCCGATTAGGAGGAATTTAAAATGACATACAATACAATACATCCTGATTTATATAGTGCTTTCACAACAGCTGCAGCTGTAACAAAGCGCTTAACAAAACAGTTAACATAAAGTAAAATAATAAACACAACACATAACATAAAACACAGATAGCCGTGCAACCCTAACCACTTTTCCCTCACATGCTGTGTTTGCTGTGTTGTTTAAAGCAGTTATAGATGAAAGAGGAGAGAATCAAAGTGTCCTTTCACCATTTGGCAGAACATAGAAGCTGAAATCTGATAGGACGAAAAAATCTTACATTCCATACACTACTGGAAATGCTACAAATTGAAGAGAATAGACTGTTGGGAATAAATTACCGGTAATACAATTTCAAATCTAAGAATTTAGGCTGTAAGTAGGTCAGTGCTTCTGATAATAATAACCATGAATGCCCACCAGTGCGGTAGGGATATTGGATCTAAAAATACATATTTTAATGGCAAATGGAGTGGCTTCTAAAAAAAAAACAAAAAACATCCTGACCACTTGACATATTTTCAGTAATTATGTTATCTTGGTTGCATGTTGCCCAGTGCATTGCACTTGAGCTCACCAGCAGGAAACATGACCAGCTGCCTCCCACAGAGCCCCCCCCTCCCTCACTTGTGGTGGACTAACAAGAGTAGAGCATGTACACATTGTAACACTCCCAACATCTCATGGGAATTGTATGTCCAAATTGACGACCCCGTTAGAGTGCCACCGTACCGGCTCACCACGTCAGCTGGTTTGACCGTTTCACCCGAGACATGCTGATCAAACGCTCTTGTGTGGACAAGCTGGTGGACTGTTGTTCAGTATGGAAACTCCCTCATAGGCCCTATGAGGAAGTGTCAAACACATGGCCGGTGGGCTAGATCTGCCGAAACCTTGCCACAACCCTACTTGACTTCTGTTCAAAACTAGCCATAAAATAATAAAAATGTAATGCAGGGACAATTATGTATTTTTATGGAGTAGTATTGAGGGCTACCCCTAAACACACAACATACAGCATGAGAAAAGGTTGATTATGGACCTTCCAAAAAAAAATTCAGCTGTCTTTTTCCGTCCCTGTTTACAGAAAATATTCAGTAGTTTTGTTTGCGTTTGCCTTTTTGACAAAAGGCAAACTTCTATTGTACCCAAGGGCAACCTTAATGACTATGTCCACGTTGAAAACAAGTTTGACACTCCTGTAAATAGGGGCTTTCGAATAACATCACATTGCCTTCTCCCAAGCAAGGGAATTTCTGCATCTGGGCGTGGGAATTGTTGACCAGTGCATTGGTGGATGACATTATTGTCAGCATATCGAGTCAGGTGTCAGTGGCTGTCAGGTGGTGGTGCGTGTAACAGTGGCTTTGTTTGAAATGCTTTTTTGTCTTTAGTCATAACATGGTTTCCATGGTTGATGTAGTCAGTCACTGAAGGTCACTTCAGTCTACTAAATACAGAATAAGACAATTCAAATGTGAATGTGTTAAACAACATGAATTGATTTGTCAGGTATTGAACATCTTCAGTGCACCTTGACTCTACTAGCCGCAAGCCACCAACAAATGATGGTTGCTGAAGGCAAACGCCTCAGTGGAAATCCATGTTATACATTTGAGTTCACTGTCATAGATGTAATGGTGGCTAAACACATACCACTTTTTCAAACATGAGAGACCCCACACATCACGAGGCGAAAAAACCTCCACCTGATGTCCAGCTTACTCCCCAAATTTTTGGACTGTGGACCAGTTCTAAAAAAAACCCATTTTATTTTCAAATGTGTGGTGTTTGTCATGCTAATATGTAGCCACTTAGCATCATGATGCTAAGATGTGAGGAACATTTTATTTTCAAATATGTGGTGTTCGCCATGCTAATATGAAGTCACTTAGCATCATGATGCTAAGATGTGGGGAACATTTTATTTTCAAATATGTGGTGTTCGACATGCTAATATGTAGCCACTTAGCATCATGATGCTAAGATGTGGGGAACATTTTATTTTCAAATATGTGGTGTTCGACATGCTAATATGTAGCCACTTAGCATCATGACGCTAAGATGTGGGGAGCCGATGTGATGTAACCAGGACATTTCCTGGAAGCGCTTCTGAACGCGTCAACCCCATGGGCTGGGTCTTCCCAAGAATTCCGCCGGCACTTGTCATCCTGTTTCCATTAGTATCACACATGTGACAAATTTCAAATCAATTTGTCACATAACAAGCATTCCTGTTAAACATCACTCAACTTTATTTATAGAGCGTTTTAAAACAGCCACAGCTGTATACGAAGTGCTGTACATGGAGCAAAAATAAATCATACAAAAAAAAAAAAAAAAAAACGATAAAAAAATACATTAATAATGAAGACAATGGTTGTACCCACATTCCTGGTATAGTAACATTAGGATATGTACTGCTTCACTTGTGGAAAGTAAAATGGCATTAATTCCCACCGCGCTTCAGGAATACGAATCAAATTGAACTGCTGTTTTTGAGCGATAGTCAATCTAATAGGTCAGAATAGTGTGTCACTGGTTACAGTCTAATCACACTAATCTCTGGTGTTCCAGTTCAGGACTGGGATTACGAATGGAAAGAAAGAATCCCAGAGCCAGACAGAGAAGGGATTAAATGATCAGCCCCTTAAACAGGACGCCAAGTCTTTACTCTCTTGCTTTGCCTGGGAAGGACTTTCCGGCAGTCTGAGTTTGATGTCGTTGAGGCTATCATGTTCTTCCACTCCAAACACAAGCGTGCATCTCTGGAGCTTGTGGGCCAGAGAAAATGGTCTTCCCCAAACTCTAACTACAAAATTGTCTGCATAGAAATGTCCACTGATGTCTTTTTTGCCTCATGGGTCCCTGCACATGGGCAATAAGCGCGAGTGATACAACCAAGTCCTCAGTCTAGCAGTGATGCAATCTCAGACAGTCTTTTTCCCACACATTGTACATTTTGGAATTCCAAGCACGGTAGGTCTTGGAAGAAGATTTCAGGATTTTCATCTTCATCGTAACATAAGTCCATAAAGTACAAGGAGAACAACGCGAGCATTCCAATGCTATCTATTTACAGACATGTGAATATGATCATCAATATTTATCAGAATGAAATCACGGTGAAGCAAAATGGAACCTTGTCGGCATAATCTGTCGGTGTTGACCAATGTTCAATGCTGTAAGACAGGTGTCGAAGTCCGGTCCTCGAGGGCCGGTGTCCTGCATGTTTTCCATCCCTCCCTGCTGCAACACACCTGATTCAAATGATCAGGATCACTATCAGGCTCCGATAGAGCTTGCTGATGAGCTGTTCATTTGGATCAGGTGTGTTGCAGCAGGGAGGGATGGAAAACATGCAGGACACCGGCCCTCGAGGACCGGAC